TATAAATTATAGCGAAAAAAGTTTGCGATTTCAAGTGATTTTGTGAAAAATATTCAAATTATTCGTTTCATATCAAAACTTGTAATCACTTAATCATTAATCTTTCCGCAAATATTTTTCATACCACTTATCACTCAATCTTTGAAATACTATTTAAACACTTGATTTCACTCACAAGTTGTGCTAATATTGGAAATTCTCGTTTCATTTTTAAGTCTTGTACTAAACGTCAGCTTAAAAAAAAGTTTTAAAAATGCGTTATTTTGCGGCTCTTTGTGTTTTGATTGCCATTTGGTGTGACTTGTGTTCGGCCAACATTAAGATCCGTACGAGACGTCAGATTGAAAGGGAAGGCAATCTCAATGAGACGACTACTGTCTACGCGGGTGAACGCGAACCGACAGACAAGGACTTCGAAGTGGTTCCCACCGACGACAAGACCGATGTAATGGAAGTGGATTACGATCCCGTCGACGGCTCCTTCGCTTTTGGTGGCAAATTTCCCACATTTTTCGGCGGAAACAGACATTTCAACACACATTTCGACGAACTATTTCGCCAAATGACCAAAAGATTTGAAGGTATTGTCAACTTTGAATGAATGGTCAAAAGGCCTGTATTATAGTAATTGAATGATTATTTTGTATAGAAATGTCCCGAAGTATGTTCGAGAGGTTCAACTCCACGAGTTCTCAATACCCGCCCAACTATAACGGCACCAAAGAGGAGATCATTACAATCGATGGCAAACAATACGTCAAGAAAGAGCATGTGATCAAGAAGTCCGGAGATAACCTAAACGTACGCTTATTTCGACATTTTTGTAACTTTGAAATTATAAATTGAAAATAATTTTCAGATATTCCTGACGACAACCACTTATGAACCGATTGACGAGAAGAGTAATGAGAGTTAAGCCCCCAAACCTGGGAACCACTTCTCACGCGTGGACTCAGTATCGATCATATTTATAATGCAAATATTTATACTAACTTTACTATTGATTTAATGGCTATTTTATAATTTAATAATATGTTTAGATTGAATGCAATCTTTAAAAATTAATTACAGTATAAAGTTATGAAAACTAATACTACTTACTGTACATGTATAATTGTATTTGTGCTGTAATCGACATTATAATCATTTATTTAAATAAAATGTAAAATTGTTTATAATATTTAAGAATGAAATCTATAATCTATAAAATTAACCAAATATTAAGCGAATCAATGGTCACGATATGGAAGGAATGGGCGGAATATTAAGCTCTCGTCTCAAGTCGTCGACGTTTTGCTCAAACCTTTTCTCGTAATAAACATTCATTAATAGTTTGGATTCGTGTCCACAGCGAAGAGCCCACGGAAGGCATGTGTTTACGTAGTTTTTGCGCTGTTTGGGCGCCAAACGGGTGGCACCGAACACACCGCCCAACCAACACATCGGTAGGTCTGTCTGAATGGCTTCAACCCATTTGACCACTACTTCGCCCAACATATTAGTGGGCATTCCGAGCAACGCGTGCACCATATCGTGGGTCTCGCGATACCGTTGCATAACTTCGGCCAAACGCACGTCGTCTACAAACTTGACGGCCATTCGCGAGTCGGGCGTCACTCTCTGGTCAATACAAAAAACAGTCAATCACTTGATTGGCTCTCAAATTCATCACTCAATTCAAAAAACAAAATACATTATTCTTTAAGAAATTATAGTATTGCCGGCCAAACGTCGTCTCCGCCAGTGTTCCCAGCCTTTCGATGTCGATAGTGGTTGAGTTGATCCGCGGTTTATCTTCGAGTATCTGTTGGCCTTCGCTGTCGTTCCTCATCCGGTCGTATAGTTTCTCGAGAGCCAAATGACCGGTTGTTTCGCCAAACACTGCCACCATATCTGGTCGTCGAAGAAGTGGAAAACATTACGGATTAGATCCAAAGACAGGCAAAGTGTGACAAAGAGTGGCAAACCGTGTCGATAGGGATCAGTGATGGAAGCGATACCCGATCCCAACGATAGCAACACTTTCTGTGTGATTGTGGTCGGGATGTGTGTGTCGTACAAATGGATCAGCGGTTCCTCATATCGACCATCCTTTGGGTCCCAATCGTCCGAAGACTCGTCCGAATGGACATCCGTTGCCATAAATCGGCGACAATTGATGGCAAAGCCGTGCCTTCGGGTCAGACACCGGCCGACAGACAAGAATCGCAACACTTTTGCCGACATTTCTCTCACTATTGGCCACAAATCGGGGGACAAAACAATAGTCTCGCAAACGGTTAACGCATTTCATACACAAAACAAATGAATTAATTAAACGATAACTAAATGAAAGTTAAACAAAAAACAGACAATTGTTTTGAAAGCGCAGCCAATGAGAGGACTGAAGGGCTGATTGAGTGACGCAATCGTTGACTGCTTTGAGTGTTTTGTTTGTATTGTTTTTGTGTCGTATTATATGTGCTGTCATTGAGTGACAGACAGACAGTGAATGTGTTTTGGTTTGCCTTCAATGCCAACGCCTGACCAACACTTCCCACACATCACTCACATGTCATCCGAAGACAATTCACCGATCAGTCAATGATCACCGCATCGGTCGCTGTTGTGGTGTGTCTTACGTAGGGATCAGTTGTCTGTATGGATAGCAGTGATTGTGTTTTGACTGTATTTTTGTCTCATTTGTATTGCATTTAAATTACTGATCAATTTGTGACCAAATCTTAAAGTCGATGACATTATAGCTTTGTTTGTGTCAATCGGTGGTCACCTTTCAGTGTCTTCTTATCGACGACATGGACTTCAGCGCCAAGAGTTTCAAGGGTTTGGTCTCCGATGTCGGCACTGTCTTCACGCGAGCCAAACAGGTATTACCACTGATTGTCTTATTGTGTGAACTATTACTATATTGACCGCTGTTTGTGATGACTGACAGTACGCCGAAGAGACGATCGGAACGGCAGAGAAGACCGAATTGGACGCACAGTTTGAGAGTTTGGCCGAAAGGGCCGACAGGACTAAACTGTGGACCGAACGCATCGTCTCGAAGACCGAATCAGTATTACAGCCAAATCCAAGTATAGACCACTCTTTCGGAACGTCTGATCCAAGCGATGATCACTTTTTCCACATTCATATCAAAAAGATATGGATTTGTTATAAATTAAGCCAATTCTTAATGACATTAGTATTGATTTTTATGTCATATGAATAATGAATGAGTGATCACTTGGAGAGGGCGTCCGAACCGCAAGTATTGATTGTTTTATAGCTATAGAGAAGGCATGAGAACAATGTTTGTATGTTTTTTAGATACTCGTTATGGAGACATGATTTTTGACAAATTAGGTCCCATTCAAAGGGAACGGATGCGTAATCTGGAGGCGTTGGGCACCGATATGATCGACGCCGGCATAGAGTACGGTCCGGGAACTGTTTACGGCAGTGCTCTCATCAAAGTGGGGAAAGTGGAGCAAAGTCTCGGACAAACTGAACGCGAATTTGTGGCCAATTCTGACCGCAGTTTTGTGCAGCCGTTGCGCAAGTTCTTAGACGAAGACATGAGAACTATTACTGTAAGAC